GTAGGCAGAGACTAGGAATTTCAATTTGGCACTCTCTCTTCTTTCACATCGTACTCTAAATTTGGCCCATCTTCAATATATCACCTTTTTCTTCGGTAAACTTTAATATGGGGCGTCCCTTGCAGAGTCTGTCACTAACTTTTATGGCATAAATATGCTTTGTCACTCTTTCGTCATTGGTTCTTGCTGTGTAAACCACCGAAGCATTCCTTCCTTAATCCTGGTAACATCATCTTAAAATTCACGCACCGGCTCCACTGAAATTGTTAATTGCAATTTTAAGTGAATTACCACGTACTTGGCGGTGAAGGAAAACATCGTGAGAAAAGCCAGAATTTCTGAGGAATAATAAAATTTCGAGAGATTGCATAGTTCGCCAACATGCACTTAAGTAGTGCGAGAGGCTAAAATTGCTCCGTAGCTCACTTAGAAATTAGAGGAGGCCTGCACCCAGCAGTGAGTCGTATACTGTTACCGTTACAGGTTATTAACGTCAACTGCTGAAAATAGGCCTCCCCATAGACTGCCGCATAATAGGAATATTTGTCTGTCATAGTTACCACGCTTACAGTCAACCAAATCTAAGAAATACCTTTTGACGTTTCACATTAATTTTTCCGCAATAACTTTGCACCAGCGTACTCACATTTAAATATTTAAAATAACCTTTTATGTTAATCCGAGGAATTATGAAGTTATCTATATTTCATTACAACGTGTATAGTTTTTTTATCACTAATTTAAACTTTTGAATTTTGAATTTTTCAAACAAAGCAAAATATTGAAAAATAACCTTTATTAACTTTTTATACTTGACGTCGTTTCAATGATATGTCGCTATGTATATTACCGTAGTGTTTGGATAATAAAAATTCATTGTTGTGCGAATGATCGGCAAAATATTCAAATAATCGGTAAAAACTTTCAAATAATCGAATCATTAATTATTTTTATGCATTTTTTGTTTAATTTAATTTTTATTTTCAAAATTCCTTAAATTACATGAATCATAAATAAAACAAGTTTATTTTTTTACTTTGTCAAAGTAAATTTGTGTAGGCAAAAAAACTCATATACAAGGCCTTGCTAAAATAACCACTACATAATTTCCATATCCCGCCATTTCGGTACCAGTTACTCGACTCCACAGAGTTAGTAATTCATTCTTGGGGCGATGTATACGCTTTTACAACAAAATCCCAGAAAATATACAATATTTGACGTAAGTACACAAAGTTTAAAAACTTTATTAAACTAAGATTGTATAAAGAGGGTTATTTTAATGTTAAGGAATTTATGGACGATAATAACCCCTAGGAAGGGTGATCGCTACAAAGCTATTTCTAATTTTTTTTTGTGTTGTTAATTGTAACACGCATGATGATTGTAAGCTCTTATTTTTTTTAAAAGCTAGTCCCGTTGAGTTTCTTGCTGGTTCTTCCCAGGACAAGTTTTTTGCGAACCAGTAGTAAATGAAAAAAAAAAATGTCTTTCAACAAGTATTATTCATAATCTATATTGAATAAAAAAGTTTCTGTTTCTGTTTCGAGAGCTTACAGTTCGTAATTTTGTGTTCTTATTTTGTGACTCGGCTTTATTTTTTTGGACTGTTTCTTCTATAATAATTTTTTGTACGTGGTAGAGCCACGCTACATCTATATTATAGTTGTAGCACGAATGGGTCGGCTCAACCGGGGCAGGACCACGCGCTCACAGAATACCAGCGTAAAATAGCAGCGTAATGCTGATGTGTTTCTTATGGTGAGTGTAGAGAGGAGAGCCGGAGACCCTTTTTACTGGAATCGAGGCATTCTATCTTAATCCTCTGAGGTGACAACGCATTTGCATTTTGATTCTTAATTGAGGATAAATATGTATGTCTATGGGCCATAGCATCCACTTACTATCAGGTGGACTGTGTGCTCGTTTGTCACCCAATGCTATAAAATATATATTCGTTGAAGCATGTGCTCATATCACAAAGGATGATTGGGCAGAAGTGGTAGGAAAAACAAAAAAAATGAATATGGATGACTTGATGAAGGAGACATTAATTTTGACTGCATTATTGAAAATCAAATGATACTTATTATAAATAACGACATCTCTACTAGTTGTACTGAAAGTGATAGAATAAATTTATTTATAATCCAGTTTCAATCTTAAATTTTTATAACTGTTCCTCTATAAATAAGCAGTAACAATAAATACGAAAAACTGATAAACCTTGTGTTCTTGTGTTTTAAATTATCCGTTTTAAATTTATTCTGGTATTATTCAAACCAAACTGTAAATGATTACTAACTCTAAATAATCGATATCGATTTTTTTAAGAATCGAATATTGTACGTTCCGATTTTTTGGTTGGCATGCTTGGTGCAATAAGTCTAACAGCTGTCAAAATTTCTTAGATTTGGTTGACTATAGTGAGCGGGTTGGCCACCGCAGTTTTTTTATTAATCTTTATTAGGAAGACTCTGCTGCCCATCACCTGATTTGTTTCCCTCATCGTCTCAAACGACACCCACGGGATGATATGCGGGTGTGGATATTCTTACACCGACACTACACAGTAACGTATATATGCTATACATTTACTTTATTAACTTTTTAATTATTTTTATATCTTACTAAAGTTTTGTATACATTCATCTCAATTGTTTGGCATGACATAACTTTACATCAAAGTTTATATTTATACAAAAAAATGGCATTAAATCACGAAAATATCAAAAGTAAAATGTAATCAAATACATCGAATATTCCTGATTATCCGAATAGTTTCGCGATCCGTGTAAAAGCTCTGAATAAATCCGACATTTGTCAACGCCCATAATGAAATTTCACCGCATCTAAATACATAGAAATGTTAGAAGCTGAGCAAATTGGACTATGGATATTGGAGCAATAGGATTGCCGAATCTAAACTATAACTAAAATACTGTGTAGTGGCGCGTAGCATTCTCTACCACATACCATACCGGGGGGGGGGGGTCGTAAAAGGCGACAGATAGAAATAAAACACGAGACGGGTGAACACGGGAAGACGGGTGAAGATCTAAAATAAAAACCACGGTTTCCACTTGCCAACCAGTTTGCCAAGCGTGGTAGCTATAGCAAGTGGGGATGAGACAATCTATGAGGTCGGCCTAAGTTCAACAGTGAATTTGATAGACTATAACGTTAATGGTAACATTATTTTTACTAAATCAAGTATGAAGTGTTATTATTAGCATTTGCCGTGCTTGCAGTGTACACATACACGCACGCGCAACACACACACACACACACACACACACACACACACACACAGCGCGCACACGCACACACAAAAAATTATATTTATACTCATTAAAGATAAAAAGACAAAATTAAGAGATAATCAAAAAAACATAAGAGTATAGAGAGTCAGTATAATTACAGGCTGTGAGGCGTATCATCTTAGTATTTGTGGTGCCAACACATCTTAGTCTCTTTATTTGAAATAGGCTGCAGGTCCATGATCTGCAGTAGCCACTTACGATCGGTAGGCTGTATGTTCGTTTTTCATTTCATTTTTATTAAAAATATCTTATTTTTAAAACTAAAATGAAAATTGTTTCTTTTAAAACTGGTAAAATCCCGATAATAGCCGGATACGTATCCAAACATCCGAAACAATGTCAATAAGTTAATTTACAAAAAAAGTTTCGGCTATCAGCGTTTGCCGCGTCACATCGGTGTGTAACTACGTAAATATTTCAACCAGTACATGTCACAAAAAGCCAGTAGCCCGCTTGTAGGCTTACAATTATTTTCTTTTTTTATAAAACTTATATGACATTCGAATTTACTGTACACCTGATGGTAACCGTCCGCAGCCTACTGCAAACAAAGACGGCAACAAATACATCGTCACCTCTAAAGAGACCTAATGTCTTCAGACCAGAACACAGGCACAGCAGTGTGTGCAGTGTTCCTAGGCGGCAAATATTGATAAGATAGTGGACCAATCCATTCTAAGCAGAAAAGAAGTGTCACCATCTAGTGGCGGTCTTAGCATAGAGCTTTCTATAAAAACGATTGTGTTCGCACCTATTTGAAACCATGCTTTTTGTTTCAACCAGGTTATGTAAAGTATCATCATTATACTTTTTTTAAATTCATTGCGTGACAAAATCATTTTCAAGAATGCAACAGCTGGCTGTTATGAAATGTGTGACCGTACTCTACACCTCTGACAGACAGAAAGCCGATGAGCACTGGGCCAACACCCACGCTCTTTGCTTTTTTTATAGAAGAGGGACATCAAACGAGCATGCGGCTCACTTGATGGTTAGTGTCAAACTCTAACCACGAACAACTGCAACATCAGGGGAATTGCAGGTGTGTTGCTAGCCTTTTAAAAAGGAGTAAGCTCGCTTTTTTATAAGTGGTAGTGCCACGCAGCAACTATATTGTGGTTGTAGCACAAATGGGTCGACTCAACCGGGATAGGACCACGCTCTTACAGAACACTAGTAGTGCTGTGTATAGTCAGTGTAGAGGACCGTGTGGCCCATTTATACTGAATACGAGGTATTACATATTAGTCCTCGGGGGTGATAACGCATCAACATTTTGATTCTTAATCGAAAATAAATGTAGAGCCACAGCATTCACTTACCATCAGGTGAACTGTGTACTCGTGTGTCACTTTTATTATATTTCAAAAAGCTTAAAGGTCCCTAAGTCGTATCGGTTAGGAATAATCGTCGAGCTGAAGACGAGGAATAAAAGATAAAGAATGAGAGAAACTTTATTCGACATCACAAAGAAAAAAATAACACGAGACAAAAAATAAATGATAAGAGAATTTGTGTGAAGTTATATTAGGCTCCTACTTCGACTAACTGCTGCTGTACGAAATAAAAGCAGCTTTCAAATGTTGGCTTCACGAATGGACATACATTATCCAAAGCAAAAATAAAAAAAAAACATTCAGAGAAGTTAGTGTAAAATACGAAAAACAAATTACATACATGCCAAATATAAAAATACAGGTAAAGATAAAAATGGAAGCCTCGTACTCTCTTTAGCCCGTCTTCCTGTTTAAGTTAGACTGACATAATATTGTATACCCATCGCTTGGTATTAGAGATACCGAAACCTCTGAAACGTCACTTGAATAGGCATCGCGCATATTTACGCGACTTACAAGGGTCCTTCTCTTGGAGCCTGAATAGGGCTTTGAATGTCGCGATTTGTTGTACTTGTTGTGCCACGTCACAGAGAGTTATTCGTGCGAGGGAAAAGGGTGAGACAGATGTAAGCTGCCATAGCGTTTTAAAGAAACGTTATTCTATAGTATTCCAGTATTTATTTGGTCGCTAAGTGTACAAGAGGGTCTTAATATAAATCAGAATTACTTTATATTACGAAACTTATGACGTAGTAACCTTTTACGGGGATTGCAAAAAAACTTCGGTATATATAAACTAAATAACAAAAATTTTTACATATTATTATTACAAATATTTTAACTAAATATTATATTATATTTCTAATTAACATTTCGCCTAATGCTATAACCGAGAGGAAACTCGGGTTCGATCCCGCTGGCACCAGTGAAGTATAACAATATCTGTTGATTTAGCACATGCTCCGCGGTAAAGGACAACATCGTGAGGAAATCTGTATCACTAAAGAATAAAAGATTAATTCAAAGATATTTGTGAGGTCCGGCAACACGCACTGGATGGTGAGTTATTTGCTCACTCATAACCCTCTTAGAAATGTACGCTGCGTAAATCGATAAAGTAAAACTAGGGCCGATGCAGATGCAAAGGTAAAACCTTTTGCTAGAATCATAAACGGAGCGGAGTAAAAGTCTAAAGTCATAACCATCTTTATTTCAACAAAAGATTCAATCAAATTAATCAGCTCATCTAATCAATTCAAATTAATCAGCTCATCTAATCAATTCAAATTAATCAGCTCATCTAATCAATTCAAATTAATTAATCAGCTCATCTAATCAATTCAAATTAATCAGTTGATCTAATCAATTCAAATTAATCAGCTCATCTAATCAATTCAAATTAATCAGCTCATCTAATCAATTCAAATTAATCAGCTCATCTAATCAATTCAAATTAATCAGCTCATCTAATCAATTTAAATTAATCAGCTCATTTAATCAATTCAAATTAACCAGCTCATCTAATCAATTCAAATTAATCAGCTCATCTAATCAATTCAAATTAATCAGCTCATCTAATCAATTCAAATTAATCGGCTCATCTAATCAATTCAAATTAATCGGCTCATCTAATCCATTCAAATTAATCAGCTCATCTAATCAATTCAAATTAATCAGCTCATCTAATCAATTCAAATTAATCAGCTCATCTATTCAATTCAAATTAATTAGCTCATCTAATCAGTTCAAATTAATCAGCTCATCTAATCAATTCAAATTAATCAGCTCATCTAATCAATTCGCTAATTTATTGGAACGGAGCTCCACTCTAATAATTTATTAGATAGTAAAAGAAAAAAATATTAAATTCAGATTTTTATTATTTACAAACCTTGTCTGCGTTGAGCTACAAATATTGCCGAAAAAATTATGTAAATAGGTCTACGGGTTAACGAGGAGATATATTTCAAAGAATCGTTTTCTTGCGCTATGGGAGCTCTGCTCCAATAAAAATAGTGTGTGGTGAATCAGTTCTTCTTATTCTCAGAGAGTTTTAAAAAAGGTCCGCGACGCTACATGTTTAAGTATTAAAATTAACTCGCAAAAACAAATAATGGAAGCTTATTAATGCACTTATAGTAACATTAAAGTATTTTTTTGTACAAGATTGAAGTAACAAACGAAATCACAGTCTAGTAAGTGGCTACTGCACCTTCACTGCAACTTCAAACACAGAAGGCTACAGATGATAAGTGATAACTCATCACATTTGAAGACTAAGGTAGTATGCCTCACATCGGCTCTCTGTACCTTGCCCAGACCGTAACACGGAAGTGCACGCACTGCTATTTTCAGACAAAAATAGCTGTGCGGGTTGTCCCTACCCAGATGAACTCTTAGGCAGGATAGGAAACCTAGCCTTACTGTAGCTGATATACATCGTTTGTGCAAATGAACAAATTCTTATCAAATTAACTATAGGCATCGTTCAATGCATTTTATCAAGATTATAAAACAATCTTTATACGAAACTTTTTCGATTTTCGAATGCAAATAATAATAATACATTTATACCTCATAAATAATAATAATGATCTCTTTATTTCGACCAACAACGATCATATTACATAATTAGTATATTATAGGTGATAACATAGCCTATTGTTAGTAATTAATTATAATGATTAAAAATCTTTCAGTAAATACATAGTTGACTTCAGATTATTTATTTGGCAGTAAATGAACCATACAACAATGTGTCAGGCACTGACAGACTCTCTCTAACTGTATTCAAGAACATCACTAGTAAGCTGTCGTTGGATCTCTCCCGGGTCTTGAATGACGTTGCACGTGATTCACTGAGACGATATACTATTACTTGATGTACTTATTTTGCTGGAGATAGCCGTAATAAGTTAACAATAAATAGTTTGTAAAATATTTTTATTTTATTTTATTTAAAGAAATTTTATTAACAATATTTATTCCATATCGTAGAGGCGTTATTGTTATATAAACTACGTGACGACAAATATCATTAAACTAGCAATTCGCTACAGGCCCTATGAACGCTTATACCAAGCAATTCCTTCCAAAAAGATTTAGCTATAGCTAAGACTCAGTAACCGAATATCCGTTAAACAAATATGGTGTACCACAAGGAAGTATTCTGGGTCCTCTACTCTTCCTAATATATATTAATGAGCTAACAACTGGAACTCCTCATAAAACGATTCTTTTCACTGATGACGGAACAACCATTCTTAAATGTACGAACAAAAGGCTTTTTAAAGAGCATCCACGATTATTTCTGCCACCAAGCGGCACAACTTCGAAATGAGGTGAAATATTTGATAGCGTGGGACGTTTATTTGTTAAATAAATTTAGAGATTAATATTTGTTTCTTAAACATTAGTTATATTTTTATTAATTAAATTATAAATGCATAAATCAAGCTACGGATATTCTTAAAAGTAAAAAAAAAACATGAATACACCATTTTTTGCGTATATATATACACTAGAAATCGAAAACCTTATAGGTAATTGAATCGCAACTTTTCAATGATGATGACACTGCATAACAAATACTCGTCAGTTCACCTCAGTTCCATTAGACGACATCTAGTGAGCGTAAGGAGAGCCCTCGTTGATTGATGAGGGGTTTTTTGTACCCCTAATTTAAAATTATGTTTTTAGAGATTTCAATAAAAAAACTACTTTGTTTCAGGACCTGCAATCAGAGATTGAAACACATCGCGATGTATACGCATCGCTCACGGGCACCGGCCGGCGGCTGCTGGGGTCTCTGTCCTCACAGGAGGACGCCGTCATGCTGCAGCGCCGCCTCGATGAGATGAATCAGCGATGGCACCATCTCAAGGCCAAGAGTATGGCTATCAGGTAAGTTATTCATTCAATACTTTATATTTCTTCGAACTTTGCCTTGGAAGAAATATTTTAAAGGTTAGCTGACTACAACTGATCACGATAACCAAGCGGAAGCACTAGTACTTTTTTTATAGAATGAGGGTGACAAACGAACACACCGTCTACCTAACGGTAAGTGGATGAAATGGCCCATAGACATCTTCATTTATCTACAATTAAGAATCAAAATGCAGATGCCTTGTCACCTCTGAAGACTATGATGAAATGCCCCGTTTCCATAAAACGAGTCTCCAGTTCTTTACACTAATAATACGGAACACAGCAGCGTTGAGCGCTGCTATTTTACGCGGGTATTCTATGAGAGCGTGGTCTTACCCGGGTCGAACCGACTCATTTGTGCTAAATAATAATAGTCTTTATTTGCATAAAACATGCTAATTATACAGATGTTTCAGAGTTTTATTATGCCCACATGTTTTGCTATTTTAATATAATATAGCATGTAAATTACATTTAAATCAAGATAACCTATATAGTATTAAAATTAACAAATTAAACATGTTTATTTAAATTATAATTATGTTTTACAATGTCAAAATCTAGTTTAAAATGTCAGAAATTCATTAATGTCATAAATATTTTTGGCAATTAACCAATGGTACAATCTTTTTTTTAAATACGTTCATATTATGTACAGGTTGCAGCTGTATTAAAGCATAATATAGCTGCAACCTTACTCTACCAATTATAACTACTAAGAAATAACTTTTTTTTTTAAAAAGTACTAGTAATGTTATTAACATTAGTAATACTCCCAATAACTAATCGAACTAAACTTTAAGTGTTTGGACTTGACGTGATCGACGCAGTTGTATAGCGTATTTGAACCTACGACTTTCTAAGTTTGCTAAGGCTATTGACGCTTTAAAACTCTTTGCTTCATATTCTCAAAGGCAGGAGTTAGGAAAGAATATCCAGCTTAAAGTTTTCATTTTTAATGCCGTTTACAATAAATTCATTTCATTTTAACCACAACAAAATAAAATATTTTTTAATATTTTCATTTTAGCATTTTTTAACATAAAACCGTCAAGAAAAAATGATTCGTTTTAAACATTGTAATCAAACAACGCGTTTCCAAACGCATTTTTAAACGTCATACTCAAAATGACAGATCGCCACTCAGCGCCGTAAAAGCGAACGTACTTTAAAAGCAAACATTTAAGGTTATTTTACACTTGAACAAAACATAATCTATGCATGCATCCATTACAATCTATAAAAGTCTAATGCTGAACATGTGACCTGCCCCATATATTGCTTCATTTGCCATAGTTGCCACGCTTGTCAGGCGGATTGGCATCTGCAGTTTTTTTATTATTTTGAGTTGTTAACAGGAAGATGCTAGTGCCCATATTCATCAGCGTCGTATCGAATGGATGAATATATAAAAACAAACATTACACTTGAATAAAATATCCTTCCATGCATCCATCACCGCCTGTAAAAGTCCACTGCTGAACGTAAGCCTCCTCCACCATAGATTGTCTCGTAGGCATATTTTGCCATAGTTGCCATGCTTGGCTGGCGCGTTGGCAACCTCAGTTTGTTATTATTTCATCTTGTTATCAGGAAGGTAGCTGCTGTCCACGGCGTGTTTAAAATTTTCACGCAACGCTATGGGGTAGTTTTTTTTATAGAATAAGGGTTGCAAACGAGCACATAGGCTACTTGATGGTAAGTTGGTAAGTGGATGCTGTGGTCCATAAAAATCTACATTTATTCTTGATTAAAATTCAAAATTCAGTTGCGTTATCACCCATGAGGACTAAGATGCAATGCATGGAGTAAAGGTAAGGAAGACAATCTCCCATAGCAGAATAGTTGAAAATGTGTCCATCTGTAAGCAGTAAATAACAGTTCAAAAACTCTCCACAACAGCGCTCGAGTAGCTACAGGATATGATAAATCGCCGTAAAATACGTTAAGAGTGATTTTGAAAATAAAAATTTTGAAAGCAATAAATTAATTATTGTAAAAAGAATTATGGTGAAAGTCTGTGTAATAAAAAAATTATCAAAAGTTCTTTAAAATTTAGACTGTAGCTACAGTGGCGCCACCCTTATTTATCGCTTTCCTACGGATACTTTTTTATATAGAATTTATACTCCTTACCTCTACATTCCATAATGCAATGCCGTGTTTTAAGTAAAAAAGGGTTTCTGGATCTCTATACTCACCAGGCAGCAGTATAATCGCTGGTATTCTATTAGAGCGTGGTTCTACCCCGGTCGAGCCGACCCATTAGTGTTACAACCAAAATATAGCTGCAACGTATCTCTACCACCTATAAAATACACGTACCTATAAAAATTAAATATCTTCTTCACATTGAATAAAATCTTCTTCACTCTGGAAGTTACACGTGTTAATCTAGGTCCCAGCTAGCATATTAAAAACTATATCGACGAAAAGATTGACCATATATAGTAATATTTATATATATAAATTACGTGTCACGTTGTTTGTCCGCGATGGCCACTTAAACTACTCAATCGATTTTAATCAAATTTGCACACCGTATGCAGTTTGATCCAACTTGAGAGATAGGATAGTGTTTTTGTCCATGAGTGACCCACAATTTTTTTTTGCTAAAGTAAGGATTTTTAATAGGACATGACAAAGGGTCGACGAAAAGGGCAGAACAACGTCTGCCTGGCAAGCTAGTGAATTACTATATGTTACTTATATACTAATATATGTGTATGGAAGTACAAAAATAGTGGCCAATGAATTAAGTGAAAACATTGATTGATGGATTATCTCTAAAGTAGTTTAGTTAAATAATTATTAAATTAAATCTGTTACAGTTAGCTTAGCGGACTTACATAGTCAGTTGTCCGATTTGGTTTCACAATGTCATTCCAGTAGCCACAAACCACAATAGTTCAAAATTTACGCCTCTGTCCTGAGAATGGTCATTTATTAAAACACAAAGAGAGACCCTTTGTGTTTGTATAAATGACTATTTAGATTATATTTGGAGAAAAGGGCTAACGTATGTTATAATCACAGAAACACAATGACAATATGAAATTCAACCGAAATTCAATTTGATTGAAATAAATCTTAAACAATTGAACAAATAAATTTTTCTTTAAGGTAGATTACAAATTACATCCATTGCAAATAAATTTTACTTCTATGATTAAATCTGAGAAAAATCTCACATTATAGGAATATAAAAAGTTAAGTAAAATATATTTCCTTTTTCATTTTAGGCCATTATATGTCTACTCCTGGACATGGAATTTTCCCTGAGATGAGATCTCGCAAGTATCTCACCGTTACCATTACAGACCACTAACGTCCAATGCTGACGATGACGGATATTTGCAATAGCTGCCACGCTTGGCAAGCGAGTTGGCAACCGCAGTTTGCTATTTTTTGCGTTATTAGGAAGACGCTGCTGCTCATCTCCTGATTTGTTTCCATCTGTTACCTCTTACGACACCCGCGGGTTGATATGGGGTAGTGGATATTCTTACACGCTGTAGAAAGTCTGACAAGCAGACTGATCACAGTACCAGAGATTCCGCACCTTTCACGACTCTGTTCGTCGAGATTCAGTGTATAACGTTTGGTTTTTACGAGATGCTTATACCATCGTCCATCGGAAGCCCTTAGATTTTCAGACATTTTCCATATTCTGTATCCGACGATACCCATGGCAAAAAATGGGGCGATGGACTCTTTTACACGCGGGGAAGGACCACGCTCTCACAGAATACCAACGTAAAATAGCAGCTTAATTCTGCTGTGTTTTGTATAGTAAGTGGTGTGACGAAACGTGGTATTCCATCTAAGTCTTTAAAGTGACAACGTATCTGCATTTTAATTCCTAATCGAGGATAGATTTAGATTTCTATAGGCCACAGCATCCAATTACCATCAGTGAACTGCGCGTTTGTTTTTTACCCTTATTCTATGAAAAAATATTTCCGTAATATTTTAATATTTACGACACATTAAAAGTAAAAGTTAAAGCCTTTATGCGCACCCCACTACTGGTCCCAGGACACCTCTCATTTCTATGAGTGTTTTAGGGCAAAGAAATGTATGCGACACTACCCCAATGCGCGTTGGCGTTCTTCACATGTCTTCGAAAAATACATTTTTTTAATTTCTCTGGCATGCAGGTTTCATTACGATGTATTTCCACACGTGGTAATTCAGAAGTTCTTACTGCCTCGTTGTATAGTAGTCGTAAACGCTATAATTGATGTCCCGGGTCCGCATCCCGGAACAGGCCAAAAACTGTTGTTTGTACATAATTGTCAGTAGCGGCTCGGAGTCAGGAAGTTAGTCGTGTTTCACACCCTAACTCGGAAAGCACATAAATCCGTTGGCCCTGCACCTAATTTTTCTCCGGTCGTGTCGGATTGCCGTTCTATCGGACAAAGAGATTGAGGAAATAGAGAGTGCACCTGTGATTGCGCATTCACTCCGGCACTATAATCCTGTCCTGCGCAGATGGCTTGTTTCCGAAATCGATCGTAGGACATTTTTTTCATTTCATTTAAATCGGCAGGTATCACTCCCTTGCTGTGAAATTTACATCGAGAGCTCAGACCCAGAGTGAAAAAAGTTATGTACATTTGTTCAAAATCTTAAATCAAAAGTTTGATACAATGTCAAAATGTTAAAACAATCGTTCTTTATTTTAATTTTTGTAATATAAAAAGATGGTATTATATCATTTAAAGTGCAATAAAAACAATCGTTGTGTATTCAAATACACACGTATTTTATAATATTCTCCTGAGACACATCTTTGCAAGCTGAGTAAGTGTACCTTGGACGGCACGTGTCAGGATTTACTCAAGTGTATCAGAGCCCTTACGTGCGTACCTAGAGAACGTGTTACATTTGCTATATTTATATTGGTAGCACGTTTAAAATGTTTCGCTTAAATCACCGCTCTTCATGTATTTTATGTCGTATGAATATTA